TTTAGCACAGCTTTTGATTATTTTGAACGGTCATTCATATAATTGTATTCCCAATGATCATTTACTGGGGTATGAATAAACGTGGTAACGTGACCTGTTTTATCAATGTTTGCAACCTATTAAATTATTTGAACTTTGACCTCCATAGACCGTAGATATATTGGATAAATACTTCAGCAATATAAAGATGAAATGTAGATAACCAGGCCAGTGTTTTATATTTCTTTTTAAAGATTAGTATGCCTAATAAATCTTTTAATAAGGAGATTTCGCAACCTTACAAAAACCACAACGAATACGAATACGTCATTATCATTATCGCCATTCGTGCCTAAAACATTCTTGACATTATGTTGTACAAGCTGAACATGATGTTGATTCATGCAAAAGGTATGAATCGACTACGTTGTGACAGATATCCTACTTGGTTGTCAAAAATGTGATGACGTATCAGTATCGTTATCGTTTCCGTATGCTTCCGAAAACTCACTAATATTATTATAGATTTAGGTAATTGCTAGTAATGTATTTTAAAGTTGTTTTAGCTTAATAATCAACAACTCATCAGCGGTACTTTTGTGTGACTTTAACAAACTAGGCATTGTTTGCCGCTCTGAGTGGTATTTCACAAAATCATAGGCTGCGTTATGTAACTATGTTTTCGCGTATACATTTCCTGTCTCTTATACACATCTAGATGTGTATAAGAGACAGAATATGCACAGTGTTTTGACCTTCTTAACTACACTGTGTAAACAATCAATGACAGTTAAGTGATAAAGTTCTTGATACAGGGGCAGGGGGCTAAAGCCCCCCCACTGGTCTGGTCAAGGCCCCCCCATTGGACAAAGCTTGTCGGGCAGTCGGAACTGCAAAAAAAAAAAGGCCTAGTTCTCCCATTCCAGCCATTTCCGGCCATCTAGGAGTCCGAATTTTTTTTTAAAATCTTGTTTTGGGAGGAGAGGACACCCCCCTCCCATACCCAGCCCTGGCTCAGGGCTTTGGCACTCAGATAACGCTGCGCGCTACAGTTACACTCATAAATACTTAGCCCCCCCCCAGTCGGACATCTTAGTTCCCCCACCCCATAAAATATATCCTAAAACTGAATATCTGATAGGCTTCCTTGATTACTTTCATATACTGTATTGACTACAATAGTTGTAACAGCACATTATCTCTTTAGGAGTGGATCTGCCACCATAGGCCAAAAATAAATACTTGTTTAGCATCACCGCCCAACCCTGATTTTCTAGCTGCCTCTCTCTCTTTTTTTTTTTGAAAAAAATTATGAAAATCGACTAAAAAATATCAACGAAATAATCAATGAAAAACGATAGTTTTTTCTTCATCGTGATCACCGGGAACAAGATTTAAAGTGCGCCACCAACATTACAAGAGTGTGTTTTTTCTGCACATAGGCTGCATAGTGATTGGCTTACTACCTTAGATCTCGCAACAGGCTAAAGCTACCTGCAGAAAAAAATACGCTTCCCTCACATATGCTTGTTGACAGAAGTCACAGACGATTCGATCGTCCGTATAGTACAGTAGGCCTACATGTTTAATTTGGTTATTTTTAGATTAAACAATGTTTTAAATATGATAATAATAATTTACTATGAAGACAATTGGCAGATGTTTTAGGCCTAGCTTACTAGACCCTAGCTAGTCTGGCATGAAACGACTAGTCGGCGCCTATAAAAAAAACCCCGCCCCCTCCCCTGAAAATTTCTGAGGGTGTGACGCTAAACAAGTATATTTTTTTGGCCTAATTCAATAATTTTTTAACATTGTTTTCAATAAATTATAAGAAAAATGGAGAAAAAAAAAGAAAAATTATAATCAAGTTAAGTCTGAGAGCGCCATTTCCGGCCATCTAGAGGTGCCATATACTCATAAAGTTTCTTACCTCAGCCCCAACCCTAGTGGGGCCGAGGTACTATCATTGACCCCTCCCCCCATCTGTGAAAATCCTTCCATGGGTCCTCAATTTCAAAATCCTGGATCCGCCATTGAAATATAAATAATGAATTACATATAGATGACTTAAGACATCAATTATATTCACTGCTCCTCTGTACATACATTTTAAGGTTAGCTGATGATTTATATCAGTTACCGGAACACAGCTGTTATTATGCCCGTCGCGTTGTTATACAGTGTCACCATACCATCACAGGAAAACAAAAATTGCACACCCTACTTTTGAATTTGCCCACCCAGTTTCAAAATCCTGCCTAAACTCTCAGCACATAAACTTTTGTATTTTGCGCTTTATAAATTCAAATCATTAACCACTACGGTATTTTGATGGTACTTTAATAAATTATTGTTTTACAACATTTAATAAATAATATAATAATGTAGTAGTACTTACAAGCAGGACAGGAATAGGATTTATTGAATTCTCTTGCCCCATCTTCATCACAAAATATATCTACATACATGTCAAGGCTCCCAATTCTCTCTAGCATTATAAGAAGAACTCTTCATTTTATTAATAATTATTTAAGTCATTGTCACCATCACCATCAACCTTGGTTAACTATGACATATATATATATACATATGGTTCTATTGACTTGAGATGCCTACTTAATAAGGCCTATTCTATAGCTACTGCCTATTCAATATCAAGGCAAGGTTGCAGAGCTTCCAGCTAGGGTATTTCCACCACTGCCAAGAAGGGGGAGGGGAACACTTCCCCAGAACAAAACAATAAAATAAATAACATCACAGTGTAGGCCTATTTGGAAAGAAAAATATTTTAAACGATATTCACTATGTCTGTAATCGTCCGAATTAATTAGGCATCCCATTACATAAAACGCTGGAGCTTCGCCCCTGACCCTCCTGGACCCCACTGGATGCCTCCGCTGGTCCCCCAGCTCCCCATAAGGTTTATCGCGAATCAAAGCCACAATGAAAAATAGGATTGAAAGGGGGGATTAGCATGCTTTACCTCTCACAGAACCACGGTGGTGGCGGTGGTGTGGTGTCGACTCATGCTGCATTTTTGGCCGTTGACATGGCACCCTGGCTTTTGGAAAAACCTGGGTTATAAATCTTGCTGGTTTGTTGAATAGTGATGGTTTCCAAAAATTATTTATTGCTCCCTCTGAACCATTTGACAGCTCGCTCTCAACTATCAGACAGCTCACTGGCTCCCAATCTTTGTTGGTCAATTCGGTCTAAGACAACAATACAGTATTTTATTATTTTATTTATTTATTTAGGCACACAATACATGTGCCAAGGATTGTCAACAGCGAATATATCACTATCCTACTTGTAGGTGACAATCCCTTACACAAGACAAACATACACACGATGCTTTACACAAACTAAATCTCCATATGAGATTTAGGGAGTGGAGTTGTTTTGGTCGTGAGAAAAAATCCTGCAACTGGCAGGAATTGAACCCAGGACCCTGGGATTGGACGGCAAGCATCTTAACCACCAAGCTATCCAACTTCCACAGTATAGGGTGTATGGTAAAAATGGCCCCAAAAGACAAAGTAGTTAAAAATGGCCCCCAGTGATAAAATTTAGTAATACTGTAAAACTGATTTTTATAAGATCTTGCATCTAAATAAATGCTGCAAAATGTATTAAAAATATAATCAATAGATCAACATAAATTTAAAACTAAAATAATTTAGTCTTTAAAAAGAATATAATATCAAATAAGTTGCCATTTATATTACTTTATGCAGTAATTGTATAAAAAGTAATGAAATAGTAATTGCAAAATTTACATTTTAAAATTCAGTAATTTGAATATTTTATTTGGTTTTTTAAAAATAAATAATTTAATCAATCAATGTATCATTTGTTTGTTTAAAAAAAAAATAATTTAATCAATCAATAGTGTGTTTTTAAACAAATTAATTTTTTTTTTATAGATTCTTAAATAAAACATTTTTAATAAAAAATAATAAAATGTTAACTAGATCTTTATAGTTATATTGCAACTTAATGTACGTGTACATTCCTGCTTGAAACATTTTTTAAAACTCATTTGACGGTAGCCATTTACAGATATGCCAACCCTATAAGGCCAACAAAAAGAGTCTGAAAAACTTCTGAGCAGAGTTTTGGCAATGTGAAAGAAGTATTCTCAAGACATAGTACCAATGTACTGTACGGATTGTAAAATGTAACCGTTTTGACTCACACTCAGCAATACCACCGTGCAAGACTAGGCCTTAGGCCTAGTCAGAAAATCAACACAGCACCAATCACTGAGTGTACCGTAGGCATCACCTACAGTACAGTAGTTTTGATTTCAAACTGACAGGATACCTTCCGTTATTAACTTGCATGTTTGCGCGTGTTTTAGCTACTTTTTTGGAGGAAGCTCAACACTACTACTCAATTTTCGAGCACTGCCCAGGCCTACATCCATATCGCTCTCATCTGATCCATTTTCAAAATCGTGCTTTACAACTCTGACATCAATTTGGCCTATAGGCAAAGAAATTTCGTAGATGAAATTTCTTTTTTTGAAATCAGTAGACCGTGGAGTGTGAATTAATTTTTCGTGTACAGTTCAGAGTCCAACTCTGACAGTGAATTGGTTAAGAAATTGGTTTTTTCTAAATCAGTGTGGATCAGACTGTGGAGCGCGAATTACTTTATGCAGTACGGCAATTGTATAAAAAGTAATAAAATAGTAATTGCAACATTTACATTTTCAAATTCATTAATTTGAATAATTTATTTTGATTTTTTAAAAATAAATAATTTAATCAATCAATGTATCATTTGTTTGTTTTTTAAATTAAATAATTTAATCAATCAATAGTGTGTTTTTAAATTAGTTAATTTTTTAAAGATTCTTAAATAAAACATTTTAAATAAAAATTGACAAAATGTTAATTAGATCTTTATAGTTTGATTGTAACTTCATGTAGTTATGTAAATTCCTGCTTGAAACATTATTTAAAACTCATTTGACAGTAGCATCTTTTTAAACAAATGTATTAGGCCTAGGCTTACTAGATCTTAAAGTTATATTTTAACTTGCTGTATTATAACATAATTTAATCTAGATTAAGTGGGTAATACTAGATATTTAAACTAGCAGTTTCTAATAGAAAGTAAAATGGTGTGAGTATGCAATTCATGTAAATACTAATAAGTACTACTGATTTTCAGTTTTAGTATTAAAAGTTGGTAGAAATGTATGATTTGGTTATTTATAAGAATGGGTTTCAACAATTTTGTTTACAATGCTACAAAACAACATAATAATATACTAGTAGACATGTTAGTAGTCGATCTTGTGTTATTGTTAATTACAATAGGCTTTACAGTATTTAAATATGTAAAAAAAAGTGTTATCCACAATAGCCTTCACAGTATTTAAATCTGTTTTAACAAAAAAATTTTTAAAACTTTTAAATATTTTCTCAATATTTAAAATGGTTTCAAAAAAGTGGCTAAATGAAGAACATGCCTCACAGAAATTAAATCTGTAAAAAAAAAAATGGTTTATGCATATCGTGCTTCTCAGTATTAAAATCTTTATATAAAATAATGCTTTATCTACAATATGCTTTTCATTTTTTAAATAAATGCTTTATTCACAATATGCTTTTCAGTATTTAAATAAATGCTTTATCAACAATACGGTTTTTAAAATTTAAACTTGTTTAAATACTACAGTATTTAAACCGGTTTCGAAATAGTATCTTTATCAGGTAAATGACCTAATCTCAGATCATTTCGTCATCGGCCGATGTCATCCGATGACGTGCACCCTCTGTTGGTATTTGAGGTCTTTTATGCAGGGTCCTATGTTCCCTGGGTTGGTGTAGAAGGTCATGTACCACCAATAATCTGCAAACGAAAGTACATGATTGTGTAAATTAACATATAAGATTGAAGCGCAATTTGTTACCAAATTCACACATAAAAGCTGTTTTTTCTAACATATATATTCAATATAATTATCGATTACTATTATTATATTCGATATTTTATTAGATGTTGATTTATTAGTAAGATATTTGGACACCAAAATATACACCTACCTCCTAAGTATAATCATGGAAAAAAAATATTTATCGTTACAAAATTACAATATGGCATCTATGTACCTGTACATGATTGTGTAAATTAACATAAGATTGAAGTGCAATATTTGTTACCAAATTCACACATAAAAGTTGTTTTACTAACATATATATTCAATATAATTTTTGATTACTATTATTATATTCAATATTTTATTAGATGTTGATTTATTAGTAAGATATTTGGAGATCAAAATATACACCTACCTCATATACCCTAGGAACCAGACAAGGTTTTGTATGCACTTTGAGGTGCAGAGAATTTGACTTCAGAAATGGGTTGAGGGTGGTCCAAGAATCATTTTTGGCTTGGTAACACATTTTCAAAATGTGGCAAAAGGGCAAAAGGTCAGGGTCAAAGGTCAAAGCTATAAGGTCCTTGTATCTCCGCCTTTGACATGTTTCAAGGTCATAGCCATGTGGTCTTTATATCTCCGCAACCACTGGTGATAGAGAGTTGATTTTGGTGTCAATTTGTTCGGAACATTCATGTTTCTATTTGGTCTAATTAATGAGTTTGCTAAAAAATGACCGGAAATGCCATTTCTGACCTTTGACATATTTTATATATAATAGCCATTGAGTCGTTATTATCTCCGCAACCACTGGTGGTAGGTAGAGAGTTAATTTTGGTGAAAAATTGTTCGGAACATGCATATTTCTATTTGCTCTAATAGAACATTTTGCTAAAAAATGACCGTAAATGCGTTTGTGACCTTCGACATGTTTCAAGGTTATAGCTATATGGTCCTTATATCTCCGCAAACATTGGTGGTAAAGAGTTAATTTTCCAACATGCCATCTCGGTGGCCACCATAGAGCTATTAAACTAGAGTGCTGACAAGATGGCGAAGCAACGCAGAGTTATGTATGAGTACCATCCAAGATGACCGTCGTAGTAAAGCGCCACCTTCAGGTTTAGTATACATATTATTAGCTGTACTAGCTGTACTGAACTTTCTGTGTAACTTGAGGGCGCTGTTGCAAATGATGTTGCTTAGGCGAAATTTGATTGGCTAAATCTATGGCAGCCATCTTGGATAGTACACACACACAGCTCTGCGTATTTCGAACATCAAATACATTGCAGTTTGCGCTCTAGTATTCTTATATCTCTATGGTAGCCACACTAAAAGCAGCCAATGAGCTATCATAGATCCAGCTATTATATAGTAGAGATCATGTGGGCCTAACCAAAGAGTATAAATAGAACAAGAGAGCGTACTCCCATTTTTGAAAACGTCACGCCTGCGTATGACGCCCACTGATGGTTGTATGTTCTTTTTATTACCCAGTGCAGCGCAGTAGAAGTATGCCCGCTAAGAACTCAGAAGCAGAAAACAAAAGTACTGTCAAACAGACCATGCGTGGTGGAGTACTGGGTAATAAAAATCACCTCCAAGCATTAGTTGGCATCCTACACAAAGCTGCGTAGGGTGTATCATTTTTTACGCTCTCAATGAGCGTAGTTGGCTCTCTTGTTCTATTTTGGCTACGGTCACACTTGAGTCTCAAGCCAGGCTTGAATCACCCCGGGTGAGATTTAGCCAGGCTCAAAATTCTGGGTCAGTCACACTACCTGAATTTAGTTGGATTGACCTCCAAATTAGGAAAGTCGAAACAGGAAGTTAGACCGCCGCCACAATAAAAATACCGGCCTAGGCCTAGCCTAGGCTCGGATTTAATGGCGATGCTAGTTTTCGGATTGAAGTGCATTTATAAATGACAACTGATGATTGCGTCTTATTATAATACACACATGAAGAACTCGCGGGTTTTTTATTCAAGAACTTCTAAACGCAACGGCGTCATCGACTGTGCCGACGAGGAAATGTCAATCCCGGTCACGCCAGAGCCGGGATCGAGATAGGTACTGTAAATTGAAATTGAGGTCACGCCAGGCCTAACCTAGCCTAGGGTAAACCAAGCCTAGGCCTTGGCCTATTTTTGTTGCTAAAATATTGGAATCTCCATACTAGGCTGGGCCTATAAAACAGTTTATTGAAAGGATACGAGAACATGATGTAACCCATGCAAAACCTGACAGTCTTTTGCGGCACTTCTTGGAATTACACACCATATCAAAATCCATAATTTAACTTGCAAAGAGAAAAGAAATGTCGTGAAGAACAGAACGCACTGATTTTCCGATCCTCTTCCTAGGTCGGGGGAAAGACTTATTGCGCCCGGTCCGACGCACTTCAAACGATTTCATTGGTTAGAAGTCGAGTCGTCTAGGCCATTATCTCTAGACATGCAGAGCCGGCCCGTAATACTTGATTGCCGCCCTCTTTGGAAAAATCATAATAACTCCATACCATACCACACCACACACACACGAACAATTGACGATCATTGATATCTTTTAAATCTTTACAGTGCATATTATAATAATAATAATAATAATAATAATAATAATAATAATAATAATAATAATAATAATAATAATAATAAT